AGTGAACACGAGGGCAGGATATGAAACCTGTTTAATATTAATATCAGTGCCTGATTAACGAGCTTTATTTTCTGGCCTCATACAAAGAATGAAGAAATATTTAATAAGACAGAACAGAAATGACTCCCTACTCTCCCTCCTTTACTCTCCTCATCTTTCTCATCCTCATCTCCTATTCTCTCAATATATATACATATATTTCTTTTTTTAACTCACTATCTCTACATCCCTTGGATTTCATCCCTGGAGATCAGTAGCTAGCATTACAGCGTCATAGCCCGCAGCTCTTCCTGTGAAGGTCACACTGGGTTGATGGAGATGAGTAGAGGGATAGGGAAGGGAAACATGTTTTTTCCAAAGGTGAGGATGTTTTTCCATTCAAAACAAAAACCGGGACTTCCGTTTATGCTCTGTGCCCACAAAGACTGTTAAAAAGACGCTCTGTGCCCACAAAGACTGTTAAAAAAAAAACGGGTGTTACTTGCTCACAAGAGTCAGATTTTTTTCTAAATCAATTTATGCATGTTACCTCATATGCAAATGTGCCCAGATTTTTTTCTAAATCAATTTATGCATTATGCATTAATTTATGTTACCTCATATGCAAATGTGCCTGTGTGTTCTGTGTGCATTAATAGGCTGCATTTTGCATGACTAATGCTGGTCAGAAAACCACTGTGGTCCATATGTGATTACACGATGGCCAGAGCAGGGATGTGCTGGACTTTGATATGGTCAGTCAGTTGCAGCAGTGGCTTTAAATGTAGACTTGCAATAAGGAAGGACGGAAATAAAAACATGTTTTTCACCAAGTTAAAGACGAGCCAGCTTCAAAGACTAAACCACAGCCCAACTGTACATTTCACTTGAAATATTTTCAGCTGTTTTAAATGTTGCCATCCAATGCTTTCCTTTGGTCTGTAATTTATTTGTAATTTGTAATTTGGTCTTTTTTTTTTTTTACAAAATGTCCTGCAGCACTCTGTTATATATTTAAACAATAATATATATAAATAAAATCTTTATGTGAGACTATGATGAGAGTGTGTGTATTGATGTGCTTTGTGTTCATTTCCTGTGTTGCTTTAAACCAATATGGAAGATCTATGGCTTCATGACAAGCTAACATCCACTACATGTACTCTGTGTGACCTTTGTTTCCCTCCCCCATCTCTTACATCATCTTTGGTGAATTACCACAGCTACCCTGGCTGTAATACTGCATTATACCAATATGTTTAAAATCCAAGTAGAAGATGAAAGATATCGACAGTTGTTGTTGGTCTTGTTGTTTTTTTTTTTTGCAAACCCCAACTTTTCATTTAATCATAAAATAATCTCTTCTTTATTGCACTTTCCCCTGGTGTACTAACAAGAGAAGGTCAATCAGCCATCTGAGACCGAGGCTCTTCATCGTCCAGGCCAACAGAAGGTAACAGATTGCTGTGACATGTTCACTGTTCTTGGCTGCTGGACGCTCCATGTGACAGGGTTTAGAATCTGTAAATCTTTGTTGTAATATATTGCCGTCCAAACCTACATTTGTTTGGTAATTGGAGCTGTTTGAGTGACTGGATGAATAAAACACCTTCAAGTAGAAATGTGATGAGGATAATTATAGACAAACTATTCTTTTTCTGAACAGCATATAAGGCACAACTTCTGAAAGAAACTAGAACTGTCCAACAAACTGCAGATAATACAATAATATAAAACAGCCAGACATAAACAACGCATCTTGGTGGCAGGTGAACATGCTGTGTTTAAAATAAACAGCATTTCTTAAGCGAGAAAAATAAACTATTCAAATCTGCATAAAAATGTCTAAATAACTGGAACCAGAGCTGTAAACATTTGGCACAGACTATGAATCATGTTCTTCTCTCGGTTTAACAGCCTTATCATAAAAACAGAAAATTTGGAACACTTAAAAAAAATGGGTGACAAATATATTCAATAAAAAATGACTAGTGATGAGCGTGTCGCTAACCCTCACTGCCATATCGGGGAACACCACAAACTCCTAAATGCTAAGCTTAACACAACCGAGAGTACAACTGATCCCTTTGGGCCACGCTACAAACATCTGTCACACTATATTATAAAACTCTCTGACGACTTTGCCTATGTGCATTGGCAACATCTGTTGTGACGAGTGTCACTGGCCGCAGATGAAAGTGCTGACTGCATTGATAACACGCTTGTCTGAAACACAAGTGGTGCGACGCTGCAGGCCGACAACAGTTAACCATGAAAAAAAATGTAGTGAGGACTTTGACGTTTTTGGCTCCTGAAGCTGGACTAGTGGTTTATCTACAGATATAAAACTGAGTGTTTTTTTTTTATCCAGAGCACACTCCTCTGCGATGATGTGAAGACACAAATTATTTCTCCTGCAGCCGTCAATGTATGTGTGTGAATTAGAGGCAAATACTTCCGAAGGCCTTGAGGTGTTTCAAAGATTAAATCAATAACACAGAGGATGTTTTGGACTTCTCTTAAAACAACAGTAAATACTGTAAAATGTAATGATTGTAAAGACGTCAGTAAATCCCAAAGGGTAAAAAAGATCGTATTATGACTTGATTCAAACATGATTTACAGATAATATGGTTTCAAACCTTTTTCTTTTTTTATTCCAGATTTCTTTCCAACCTGTGGCCCCGGCCTTAACTCCTGAACTACGGCCTCTCTTTTTCAGTCCACATGTATCTTGATTGATACATGTATCTTTCACCGCCTTGGCCTTTGAGAATAAATGACCTGCAATCGCCTCCTAATGCCTTTTTATGATATGTAGGTGTGCGTGTGTGAACTGTGTAACACAAGTGCAGTGATGCAGGGATTTGCACCGTCATGGTCACTGACTCATCTAGACATCAATACAACATCCGTAATGACATCCCTCCAGAGAGCTTTGCCCTCATGATGCAGCCAAGCATGAAAGGGAGACGGAGAAAAACAAAGATGGAGAGAACAAACGAGGAGAGGAGAGAGAGAGAGAGAGAGAGAGAGCGCCATGGAGCAGAATATTCAGGTTGTAGTAATTTAGTGATGGGGAAAATAATGACACAGGCAGAGACAGAGGTCTGGAAGGTGTTGCATGCTAATAGCGTACCTGATCTGCGTCTTATAACTAGTGCCAACTGTAGTCAAAAACGGTTTGCAGCGGAAAAAAAGCTGATTAAAGATGAGGCGCATCAGCAAAACTCATTCCCAGATCTCCACTGGGCAAACAAAAGAAAGCACTGTGCTCCTCTGTGGCTATCTAGAACAAATGAATTACAGCACTCTTTCTGTGTTAACTGTAGAATTACAAATCCACCGAGTCGTGAAGCTGAATTGAGGGAAAAATGAAAAAAAAAAAAAGGCCATTGGACATCTGCGGAGAGACATTCAGAGCAGGCTAATAGGATTTTTCAAACTTAGTCTTTCTCTCAATATGAACTGCCTATTTTGTAAAAATGAAATAAACACAGACGATATGTGATATAGCTTTAAAAATGTGTGACCAAGATCTCCTAATTAGGGTGTCGGAATTCTTTAAAGTGCTGTGCTGATGGAACTGTGTGTCGTGCTTGGCGTGACTTGCTCCATGGAGGCTGAGAGAAAAAGTCATGGTAAAGTGTGTGTGCACTGAATGTGTCAGAGCACTCCAGAGGGCCTTGAATGATTAAAGTCTTCTCAAAAACCAGAGCTGCACTTGACAGCAGCTTATTTACTGTATCCGTTAACACATCAGACTGTTTTTGCTCATCTATTCTTTTGGAAACTGCTACTTTCCTCCATGTTCAGAAAGATAACATTTTCACTGGATTGTTTTTCCCGGTAACAAAAAAAAAATAGTGAGAATATGATAAGAACGTCTAATGTTCTGTAATGGTGAGACGGAATCTCTTGGGGGGAAAGTTCTACATTGAGCACAATCTGTGCCTGAAAGATGGTACGTGGATGAAATATTGGACGAAGAGAAATAGGTAAAAGGTTTAGTGTCTTGTGCAGAAGGTGAAAATTAATGGAAAGTAATTAGGGATGTAGCTGGGCCTCCAGGGGACCAGTAGTGGTTCTGCCCTACCATTAATCTGTAGCTATCTGGGCTTCGCATGGACGGGCAGGACTACAGTGCAGAGTCATCTCGTATTCAGCTGTAATCATTCATTGTTCTGCTGAGGTGTGATAGAACCAGAATTTTTTTTTTCGTCTGAAACTCTGCTGATGAGATAGTGTCATAGAAATTGAGCTGAGGCTAAAACTTCACACAGCAGGCAAAAGCAAAAGATGATGACGCAGTGATGACAGCAGCCTGGAGCTCACTTCACAGTAAGAGAGATATTACGTCGTCTAGAAGAAATCTCAACTTCCTGTTTGAAAAACTGCCTAGTCTGTATGGAAACTAAACTTTACGGCAAACATGGAAATAAGTTATTCTTGTTTTTGACAAGTTTCTTTAAATATATTATAACAATAATTGGACCCAAATCTTTATATAAAGAAAAAGAACAGAATGATTTGTTGCACGTGGGGTCAGAGAAGACAACGGCTCTACTACAAGGACATTTTTTAATCTAGCATGTGGAGTCAAATTGCAAATTCTTCTTGGTTTGGGTCCATGGTTTATTTTTAGTCCACACAGCCATTTTTACACTGCAAAAGACTGTGGTGGATTTATATGTGTGTGTGTGTGCTTCTCTTTGAATCTGTACACGGGGAGACACTGCAGAGAAACCTGCTAAGGATTAGCTGGAGTTCAAATGTAATAGAAGCCGGCGCAGCAGAAGGAAATCATCTCTAGTCAGTGTCTGCTCTGAATTATGGCTGTCGGGGTCAATAGTTCACGGCACCAGCAAGAAGCACAGGGGCAGTTAACCTCTCTTTACTTTTCTAATGTCTGGTCAGCACCACATGGCTAAATAACGGTCAGGTTTCCTGGCTTTTTGAGCTACTGGACCTCTCGAGTGAAAGGATGTGAAGCAAACAGAAACAAATCTTCAGGTACCAACCTTGGCCTTGCCTGTGCTCTGCAGAATGTGCACCAGCGCACACGCCATCTCCTCCTTGTTCTTCACACTAATCCCGGGCTCAAGCACCGAGCACAGCAGCATGTAGTTATTGGTGGTGTATTCTGCGAACTCCTTGTACATCTCCATAGGGAGGATGTTCATGCTCTGATAGCGAGCCTTGATTCTAATCATGGGCCCTGATGTCTTGCCTTTAGGGGGGTTAGGAGTACTGATCGGATACCACTTCTCCACAAACTGTCGTCCAGTAACGGCGGCGACGGGGATGTTGACAAGTCCGATGTAATTGTTTTTGTCTTTCTTTTTCTTCTTGTCTGTGTCTTTGTAGAGGTGTGCAGTGATGCTTTTGATCGCAGGTAGGTTATTAAACTCAAAGTGCTCTCCCCAAAAGAGATTGTCGGTCTTGAGCTTGCAGGTGGTGCGAGCGTATAGTGAGTCATCCAGGCACAGCTCACAGAAGTATTTCTTTTTCGCCGGCAGATCCTTGGCCTCGATGATCCACAGCCGCAGCAGGTTCTCCACTCGACGGCTGTTGTCCTGGAGACAGAGAAGATGATAGGCTTAGGTTCAGTGAGGAACTATTCTGTCAGCGCCACTGAAGTCTGAAGGAAAAAAAGTTCAGATCAAAGGGGCTAAACTCTTTATCTTTCGGCAACTTTCATGCTAAAAACAACCCTCAAACGTCAGTGAAGTGAAGGATTATTAATCCATCTGAATAAAATTTGATTGAGTCTGTAAAGTTTCTCTTCTAACGTGACAAAAGAAAAACCTAAAAAAAAAAACAAAACAGGTTGTTCAGACCTTGAAAAGGCAGAAAAATTGAACATTGCTTCAGCATTAACACACCATTATGTCATTGATTTTGCCAAGAGCAAACAACACAAGTGATCTGAGTAATGGGGCACATTTTTACCCCATTACTCAGATCACTTTGAAGACAACCTCTAGAAATAACGAGCGAGACAAAGAAAAGAGCTAATTATGACATTGTTAGAAATAAATGCTGGTGACTCACACATCAAAGAGGCTTTTGAATGTTAGAAACAGTGACGGCGAAGCTTATGGAATTGTAACAGTATCTGTATGGATTTCTTAAATTGTTCAGTGTAATAACAGATACTTCCTTTAATGTTGATGTTCAAATGTAAAGAATCTTATTGTGAAATTCAACACTGCAGCGAAAATAACAATAATGAAATATTAATGAATATATTTTTCTACTTATCTGATAATTGACAAGGACAGTTTCCGACCCTGCTCAGGCAGTGACATTTCTCAGAGCCCTTCAAATAAGTTGCTCTCCTCTTACCATCTTCCACAGGAAGACACACATTACCTCACTTCAGTGTCTTCTTTTTAGTGTGCAGCGCCCTCAAACATAAAAAGCACATATAAAATAAAAATAAAAGAGAGCTGGTCCACACATTGGTGTCTCGGGAGTGTCTGTCTACTCATTAGGTCCCAGTTTGGACACCAAAGTAAATGCTTTATAATCTGCCAAAATGTGTCTCACAGCACAGCACAGAGCTCTCGGTGCTAAATAAACAGAAGCTGCATTAAGTAAACGCCTGAGGCATGAGAAATGTGTTATCATCTGTCACAACACGAGGGAGGCCACTGAGGCCACACGACTTTGGTTAGTCGACGTCCGGGCTGCCCAATGAGAAGATCAGGATCTACCAGTCGATCACAAAGGTGTTAGTGCTCGGAGCTCTGATGAGACCAAGACAGGTGAGTGTATAACTTGACTTGTAGGATAAGAACTCATGTTATCAATAACACATCATTTGTGCCTCACTAACCTTTTATGGCTTGTGATTTTGACATCACAAATTTCTGACGACCTCAGAGGCATTTTAGCGACTGCCACTTGTGCAGAAACCTGATTGCAGCCGTCAATCAATATTTGCCAACGCAGATATTTTTATATGCTGCAGTAATTTATTTTAACAATTACTAGACATTTCAAGTGACCCCATTTGTATCTACTAGACATTTCAGGTGACCCCATTTGTATTCCAGGTGACCCCTGGTGGGAAAGCGACCCCAAGGTTAAAAAACACTGCATAAAGTACTTGTGTACTGTCCTGCCAAGAATTAATGTCTGTTTTTAGTTCAATTGATCCAACCACTGTCTCTGTATAATTACTATACTGCACCGCCCTAATGCACAGCCACTGACACAGCAGCCTACAATTAGACATAAATGGAGAAACTAGAAGTTGCCACGAGGTGTTCAACCTGGTTATAGAGGATGAATCTCTTCATTCACACATAATGTGATGCTTTTTGCATCAATGGCTAATGATAGCACCCACATGAACTATTACAATAATTATCCATAATTAACTTCTTACACAGGATCTTCATTTGCATTTTAGGTCAAAAGAGGAGGAAAGAACTCCAGTATGTAACCATTTGGTTTCATGTTGTGACAAATTCAATCAAGACATGGTCATGATGACGGATACCGACCTGCATCAAGTAAAGCTGATGTTCTCTCATACTAGTTCTCACAACAGTGAACGGACTTAAAAAACAGACATTTCAAAACGTTTTCATTAGAAGCTGTATTTATTTATTTATTTATTTATTCATTTTTAACGAAGAACACGATTTTGTTATGTTCAGCACAAAGTCAGAAAGCTGAGCCAGGACTTTTCCTTGGTCTCAAATATTTGGGAAACCTCATTTACTTGTATGACTATTCCAGTCTTCCTGTCCTTTGGCTCAACATGTTGGCCACTGTGCCACGGCTGTGTTGATAAGGAATCCAGATGGTGTCCAAGCACAAAGGAGCAAAACCCCATAGGTGTCTTGGTGTTGCTCCCCTCCATCCCTACTGTTTTTTTGTCCTAAGGTGTTCAGTGCAGGAGGATGGTGTGGGATGTAGGAATGTGAATGTCTGCTGGAGTTTCTTATGAAACAATGTCAACACTATATATAGCTCGGTGTTTCTGTCTGCGTTGCAAGGTGGGGTTTGAAATTGGGATGACTTGTATGTGAGGCAATTAGCGCTGATTACTTCACACAGGCTCATCACTCCTATTAACATCCTCACCTTGTTGGGCTGCACCGCTCTCCTCAGATTTTCCATCCATTTGTCTCTCTCTGCTGATGAACGGCAGGAAAAACACTTACTTCCCGTGGAGGTGGTGACCTACCGCAGCGACACAGAGAGGGAGAAGGAATGTTTTAATGATTAATGCCTGAGGCATAATTGAGTGAGTAAGGGGGAAATAATACAATTCATTAGGAACACATTTAGTACAGAAAGGAACACAAAAATGGAGAAAATGAGGAAGATTGGTCAACTCTGATGTAAACGAACATTAAACTACTCTTTTTTGGTAAATGGTGCGTTTTAAATATTTTCCAAAAAAGAACCCGCAAAGTGATGGAGCGTGGAACAGGGACCTAAACTGTACATTTTGTATTAAATTAAGTTTAATTAAACACTGTGTCATAAATAATGTGATGACTATTTCTATCTAGTCATTATAAATAATGTGATGACTGTTTCTATCTATTTACTCACATACATACACACATAAATGTTTCCTCGTTAATGAGACATTTAAGTGAGGACTCTGCATTTGTCTTTGGCAAACATAACACCTTGAGAACTTTTTTTTCCCTCCATTTGACCAGTAACTGAGCATGACACTGACTGACGAGGGAAAATATGACACACAAATCATACAAGAAATTGTTTACTCTATAAGAAGAGAAAGGTGTTTGTTGATTATTTGTAGTGAAAAAAAATAACTCAAACTCAGTCACTGCAGCTGGGAACAAACACAGCATCAGATCTTCAACTGACCCAGAATCCAGAAGCAAACTAATTAAAACTTGTAAAAGTTCTAGTCTAAAGCTTCCTCCTCCCCAGCCTGTGAGTAAAAAGGAACTTTGAACACGGCATCAATGGTGTATGTTTAAAGAGTGCATTAGCTAACCTTTTCAAACCCCTAGCAAATGTATAGCAACGTTAGCGTTCTTTTACAGGCATCTGTCAGGCTGTTTAATGCTAGTCCAAATTTAGCGTGGCTCGGATCTGAAGAAGAATCTATTCTGTTCCAAGTGTCAAAGTGGCTCATTAGCAGTAGCGGTTTGTCCACCTGCTTCGTGTTTACGTCACATGACGCAGGCTTTTTCTCTGCTTTTATCTTCTTAAAGATTATGGATAATTGCGATAACCCGTAACTGCAAACATTCAGCTTAAAATCATTAAGTAAACATTTCCATTTACTACTTTAAGCACCGTAGTATCATTAAATCCAGATGTAGAGCTACTGATTTCAATTATTGTTTGTTTTCACTTCTGCATATGGAAACAAAAAGATGAAATGAAACAATTAACTACAGTTTTACACACACAAAAAAAACAACACAAACAAGTGTAATCTGTAAACCTAAAGTTGTTTACACTGTTTGTGTTGTTTTTTTTTGTTCTTGCCACAGTGATGCTCTGCAGTGACTTACTATGGTTGATGTATTACCAGTAGGACCGCTGACTTTGTCTGCTTTATTTCACTGTATAACAACAGTGTTCCCAAACAGAAACCATTCCCCTGGTCATGTATGTACGTGTGGATGTGCAGTGATCTCACCTCAAAGCAGTAGTCCTGCCCGAGGATGCTGCTGTGAACAGGTTTGATAATGACCTCGTCCTCCATACTTAGGTCCAGGGCTTCCACAGCGCTACTTGGGCTGAGCAGTGACTCATGGGAGCGAGACTCCTTCAGCCTCGGCATCAGATGAGATCTGAAAGTGAGAAAGAAATGGTAACAAGCTGAGTTCCCCGGTACTCACACAAGAGAGAGAGAAAAAAAGAAAGAGAGCGAGAGAGAGGGCGCAAATGTGCTGGACACATTATCAAGCCGTCACTTTGAGTGTTAATGAAGATGTGTGAGGGTGACGGCAAAGGGATGCTCTGCTAGCCTCTACGTTAGCCAGATCACAGCCAAACAAACGTGTACCCTCTGTACATTTACATTTGTTAATTAGGAATGTAATGATTATAAAACAAAGACCAATGTGTATTAATGTAGTTCCACAAACTTAGATTATGCTTTAAGATAAGGTCAGATGTGTTGGTTGATTATTGTACTCCATCGTAATATAAGATACAAACAATGCACTGCTGTGCTACATTAGGCTAATCAGAACATTTTCTACACATCATTAGCTCGAAGTTAACTTTTGCTGTGCAGGGTGAAAAACTGCGGTACCTCAAAAAAAAAAAAACTTTAAAAGTTTATTTTGTAAACACTGAACAAGTTGTTCAACAACATAATTACTCGCCCGTGCAGTTTATTGACTTTACAATCAAAGCTACACTGTGTGTGATTTGATAGCATCTAGTGGTACAGCTCCATGTTGCGATTAACGGTTCTTTAACCACCTTCATCTCAGACTGAACCTCAAAAACATCATCAGGTTAATCAGTAAGACTCAAGGACGTGTTCTTGTATCTAGTGGAACTATTCAAAGTTTTAACAAATGATCAGACTATTTCTAACCATACAGAGACAAACCTTCCTCCGACTGTGGTTTTACTGTGACGCACACACCACATCAGCGACATTGGAGGGGACAATTATGACAAGAGCCTAGAGAGCACTTGAGGAAGCATTCAGGGTCCTCACTGTGACAGTCCTAAAGCTCTATTCAGATCCAATTCTTTAAACAGATGATCTCGCTGTGTGCTGTGTTTTTTTTTTGTTGTTGTCATCTTTAAAAGAGCTTGAGACCAATCAGTTAATGCCTCTATGGTGTGTACACCGAATAATTCTATGGAGCCTCCTGTTATTCAAGTTATTGAGCCCGATGCTAAGCTAAAAACCAGCGTCTGCATACAGCCGGCTATTACAATGGTTAATAGTTGTCTTTAGTTTACAAATGTCAAACACATGTTCCCGTCGGCCATGCGGTGATAAGAAGATAAATGTTCTGGAGGGGGATGTAAGCAGCTTGGAAAACAATGGCGCATGATAACTGGACACTAACAGGATGTGGAGGCTTCAGGGTCAACTGCTGGTCTAATGAGAGAGAACATCCTTCTAATAATGCCCTTGGTGGATAACCTAGCCTGCTAAGCCCATACATGCGTGTGAACTGTATGTCCCGCCTATAGAACCCCCCCTGCCCCCCTACCCCTGTCCTCCAAAGAAAAAAACAGCCAAATGAGACATTTCTTTAAAACAATTCTTAAATTCTTATGTTTTAATTACTATTGCATAACTTCTCTCTGTAAATGATATGATCAGAACATTAGTGTCGGAGGAAAATGTGCGCGAACGTGACATCAACAAATCCTGATGATGACTTTCATCACTATGTCACTGTATTAAATCTGAAGAGTAACATGTGATTTATAGCCCATTGTCAGTTACTTTGTGAAATGTGAAGTCGTTCACGCAGACACACACTGATCACGCCTCTGCAAATAACCAGTATTAGCAGACAAGCCCCTTCTTCTTCTTCTTCTTTGGTTCTCAGCCAGTCTGAGACTCTGCCTCCTGTCCTCTTGCTGTCATTCAGTGTTTAAAGAAGGTGCCGGCTTGGTTTATCTTAGAGAATTCTTTGGTATACAACTTTCCATCGTGGTCTGCACCGTCACTGTGCTTTTGTTCTGTTTGCTTGTGTTTAATCGTCACTCGCTTCTTTCTTGGCTACACAGCAGTTTATCCATCTTTCTTGCCTTTTATAGTAACCAGATGAAACACTGGGTCACTGTGAGTAAGGAACGACTGCATAATTGAAGAAGATCTGGTATTAAGAGATAATTATTGAAAAATATTATATTATTAATCAAACAGGTGAGTTTTCATCTGATTTACGTTCAATGTGTTTTCTAGGGCTGTAGAATATAATTATTGAAAAATATTATATTATTAGATGTGTTTTCTAGGGCTGTAGAATTGAAGCATTAGATTAAAAAGATGACAAAGAAAATCTACTGTGATCTACATTCACATCATGTTGGACTTTTATTATGTTACTGGTATAAAGTGTCATGTTTTATATCAAAACAATTTCTATATAATCTTTCAGATTAGAGGGATACTAAAAGAGCTCTTTTTACTTACTTTACTTACTGAAATTAGATTATGGACTAATTAAAATAGGTGACAATAATGTTCAAACAATTTGATAACTATAGTAAACTTTGTTGTAAAAGTTTTGTGTTAATTGCTCTTCGATATTTACTTTATAAAATTTGCTTTATCAAACAGTTGTCTGGAAATATCAATGCACGTTCATGACAGGAATTTATTCCCCGGCATTGGCCAAAAACTCATGAGCATATTTTGAGAGCTAAATGCACTGTGGTCTGCTGAGGCTCAATTGAAACTCGGTTAAGAGTAATGGCTTCTGAGTGGGTCTGCACTGAACTCAGTGTGTGCGTTGTCTGCACATCCTGTAAAGAGTTCATCTGATAGCTTGTCTGGGATCCGATACAGTCTGAAACCTTGGGCCTATACAGGAGACAGAGCACTTAGCTATCTAACACACTGACTCATTGGCTGGATGGCGTATCCACTGGGGACTATATTTGTACTGAGAGTTCAAACTAGGCTAAAGTGAAGCAGTTGAGTTTCAAGAAACAGCACTTTGAATAAAAGGTTTCATGCTTCAGAAAAACAAAATGCATGTGCAGTAACAACCACAGCCACAACAATAAAAAGGCACATTAAAGTGCACGTGAAATGATGTTAATGTCCACATGATAGTATCCAGCCCGTGCTACATGTACTGTACTGTACTGTACTGTACCTCTGAGGGACCCTTGATAATACCAGACATTTGAAGTTAAGTCTCTTTGTGAACAGTGGATACACAGTGTTTACAGGGGAATTGCTCTGTTGTGAGATCAGCATCCAGAACAATCGATACACTCTCTGGACTGGTGCAGCACTTAGTTAATGTTGCCCTCAACCAAACAAACAGATGAGGCCTGTGTGCCAACAGGGATGCATACCAGCAAGTGTGTTGGCACAAGACCACCGACAAAACACCACTGACCAACAACCTGGCATGTTTCTTTTCACATTCACTTATTACACACAGTATGATATGGTAAACAAATATATTATCTCCATACATACTCCAAAGTACCACAGAGAGAAGCCATGTTTTTTTGCTAACTTTTGCTTCTAGTTTTTATACATTCGAACATAAAAACTTTGTGTCAAATGCTTGTGTTGACTTCATACTTTACAGACAAGTATCACCAACTATCAGGAGGTCACCAAAGTGTCGGCCGACCTTTGTACAGAACAGAAACCTGTCCCCGTCACTGTTTGACATCATTGGTTCCCTATCAGTTATTGCACAAGGAAACAGCCACTTACCCACGATGTGTCAATGTCCTGTTTTGAATAGCTTGTTCTAACCAACGTGTGGTTTGTTTGTTTTTTTTCTCAAATGACACTTCAAAGAATATACTTCCTTTTTTTACTTCTACAAACTCTAGGGTGAGCAGAGGTCACAGCTGAAATGGCAGCAGCACTGCATTAAAAAAAAATCATCTTTGATAACAGAGACTTAAATATACATATATACATAAAATAGTCCGTATTGTTCTCTTTTTCGTTCTTCTTGGCACCTGTGTGTTTGTATTAGTTCCTTTAATGCTATTATTGTCCCTGCTGTGGCACCGACTCAGAGGAAAACTGCGGGCAGCATCAAACTAAAAGATAAGCTCTGTCTATCCACAGTGACTCATCACAAGTTGATCACTAATTCTATTTAATATGAGCTCTTAAATGACATTCATGATTTCCAGTAAACCTGAGGAAAGGTACATTTTAGCACGTCATCCTGCCAGCTGTCAAATGTCAGGTGCACAGAAGCTGAGGAACAGCTGTGTGATGGGCGGCAGGAGACTAAAGACGGCAAAACAAACATATGGCTCACAGCAAGGAATACAGCAACGGCAGTCAAGAAGAGGTGGGAAAAAAGACAGACGACGGTGTTCTGTCAGACGCTGCCGGTGTCGACGGCCCGTGTGTGTGCAGAACCACTGCCATGTAGCCACAGAGCTCTAAATCCAATCAGGCTGGCACACAAAAATCCAGTGACGAGAAGAGCAGAGAGAACCTCATTTACTGCCAACGGCAGACTCAGAGTAGCCTTGGGAGACAAAGTCTGACTTTGAAGTCTGTTGGAATATTCTAGCAGGGCCCATCGTCCTTTTCACTGACTGGAATATTGCTACACATCACATTAAGATTGACAATCTATCTGAGTGCCTGCACATTATATCCTTTAAAGCTAAAAGCTAGCAAAAAAAAGTACATAGTCATGGTGTTGAACTAACACATTAGGGCTTCGCAGCACCTGTGATGGCTGACAGTTTCCTCACTTTATGCTCTTACACAGCTGGCAATCTAGCGCGCACAAGACAGAAAGAAAAAAAATCTTTCTGCTGTAAAGACAAGAGGAAGGGAAAGACACCCTGCCTCTGGCGTCACAGCAGCAAGTATGGGGAGATACAAAGCCTCAGCTTTTGTCTGATGGCTTGTAAAGAAAGAAATAAGATCAAGTTATAAATGGAAATAGCCATTAGCTAAAAGTAAAGATGAAATAACCCACACAACGACAACCTTTCATTTACAGGCAGGAAGGAAGTTCCTACGAAGAATGAGGCACACGCAAATGTGCACAACCCATTCAACTCAAGACGCACATGTAGAGATTGTGGGAACGTTTCTTTTCAGTTTTTCAGTTTCTTCTAAATTAAACACCTCTTTAATGGG